TCAGAATAATTTCTCAAAGGATAACTAGAAAGCATCCCATCTGTAAAAAAGAATTGAAGAATCAATTGCTATTTTTGTAAACTCACAAGCTTTTCTACAAGTTGACAATATGACTGCTTTCTTAAAGAAGGTTCATATAGAATAATAAATTCATTCAACAAGTTTTATTCAGAGTGTAATATGAGCCAAACACGCGAGCACATACCAAATATATGCTGCTCTATAATTCAGAACCAGCCCCTCCCCTCATGGAACTTACAAAGTAGTGAGATGAAGGGAGCCATCTGAGACAGCAAACAAGTAAACAAAGATACAAATTGTTTGTGTAGTAAGGTGGAATAAAGTTACAGAATGAAATAGGCATGGTGACACATGCCTGTAATCCCAGTGGCTTGGAAGGCTGATACAGAAAGATCCCAAGTTCAAAGCCAGCCTCAGCAACTGAGCAAAACCCTAAGCAACTCCTGTCTCTAAATAAAATATAAAAAGGGAGCAAAGGGTGTGGCCCAGTGGTCAAGTGCCCCTGGGTTCAATACTGGGTACCAAAAAAAACAATCATAGAAGAATATTAAAAAGGGGAAGTAATACAAACAAATTTATACGGAGAATGAGCTGCAGATGGGCAAGAACAGAAGTCAAAGAGCAGAGAAAAGGTTAAGGTAGTGATACAGACAGAAAATACCATGGAGTAGGAAGTGAAAGGAAGGTCTGAGGTATTCCGACAGTGGAACTGGTAAGACTGCTCCTAAGTTGAGGGGGAGGGATGGTATTGGCATCTAAAAATAAGTCCTTAACTAAGATGACACAGTAAGAAAAAAGGGTTTGGGAATGTTGAGGCGTTTCAGTGGGGGAATTCAGAGTGGTTTTGGACATGACAGCTCTGAGGTGCCTGTGAAACAGACAAGAGGATTTTGAACAACAGATAGAAAGCAAATCAGAGGCTGGGAATTAGAGGAATACTGATGGGTTCTTTAATTTTACCTGAAGTGTTTATAACACACAAATTAATGGGCCACACTCCAGATTTTGAGCAAGAATGGGCTTGCACTTGCACACATTTTTATCACTGTCAAGTGATGTCAACTAGAATGAGAACCTCTCATGTACATAAATTCTTTTTTTCAGTGCTGGGAATCAAACCAGGGTCTCTTACATGGTAGGCAAGTGCTCTACCACTCTGCTATGCTTCAATCTTATGTAAATAAATTTTAAAGTTCTATTTTGTCACCTATTATTATTATTTTATTTACTCATTTTAATTTTGGTACTAGGGACAGAATCCAGGGTGCTTAACCACTGAGCCACATCCCCAGCCATTTTTTTTTTTTTATTTTGAGATAGGGTCATGCTACATTGCTTAGGGCCTCACTAAGTTGCTGAGACTGGCCTCAAACTTGGAATCCTCCTGCTTCAGCCTCCTGAGTTGCTGGGATTACAGGAGTGTGTAAACACACCCAACTACAAGTATAACTCTTCACAAAAAACAATAATAATAATAATATGTTGAGCAGCATGTTATAATAATGATTTGATTTAATAAATCCAGAGCTATCAAATCTCCTCCAGACATACAGCATTACAAAGGGAACATTGTTATAATTAGACATTCTTTCAAATGACATTTACTCAAGCCATTCTGAAGGAGAATACCCTATTTCATAAATATTTTCTTGCAAAATACTCATGAAATATCTCACAAATAAGTAACTCAAGGTACAGGAAGATGAAGAGTCTTGCCCAAAGGACACATAATCAGAAACAACACTGAGATTCAAAATCAAGATAACACCAACTCCAATCTGTTCTCTACAACACAAAAATGCTTCCCACCCCAAAGTTCACCATCTGTGACATGCCATGTACAAAAATAATTATAAGAAGATAAAAAGAGGTGTTTTACTTAGGAGAAACATAAAAAGTAATCAGAAGGAAAATTTTCTTAAGTTTCCTACTTAAATTCTAAAATTGCAGAAATTGTAAATTCCACCCTTGAAAGCATCCCCAAAAGCTAATGACAGGAAAAACATCTGAATTCTACACAAAAACATCTGACTTCTACAGTGCACAACTTCTCCACAAACTTAGGCAGCCTGCATAGTGATTTTGGCTTCAAAGAATCCTGTATAATTCCCAGCTCATCTATTTGCCTAAGGTCACAAAACAAGTCACTAACAGCTAAGCCTTATAAAGACACAGGGCTTGGAATAAAGAACCTATATGTACACTTAATAAAGTCATTATCAGTTGTAATTATTATAAAAGAACATATGAATGATAACCTATGGCTGAGATTTCATTTTAACACAGAATGTTAGATTTTGCTTTAATTATATATTTCAATCTACCAAAATACTATAGTACTACTGTATTTCCTAAAATGTTTACGATCCTCTTTGCTAATCTCCCACACCAGGTTCCATCCCTTGATTAAAAGTTCAGGGTCATTCACCCTTCCACAACAGTTCTAATACTTTTGGCTATTTATATTCACAAACTACACTTTAAGTTCCTTAAAGGCAAAAGCTGTGTCTTGCTCATTGCTCATCATTCATTTAACATTGAGTTTATTTACTTGGCACTGACCTAGGTCCTGCAAATACAGCAGTGACAAAGTTCCTGCCCCATTAAAGTTTATGAAATAACAAAAGCATTTAACAAATGAGTACATGTATCAGCAATAAGTACTATTTAAAAGAGAGCAGGAAGCTGTAGTGTGGTAAGAGCTCAGGAAGTTGCTATTTTACACAGGTTTAAGGGAAAGCCTCACATATATAAGAAACCTTAAGTGGGGCAAGACCACAGGTATCTACAGGGGAGGCATCGCGCAGACAGGGAGAAGAGCAAGTGCAAGGCACAACAGCAGAAACAGTCCTTGTTGGGAAGATTATTAAACAGGCAAATATGTGGATGTCTGTGGGGGTAGGGACAGAGACACACGGGAGGGCAGGCATTAGGAGTAGAGTGACATGATCTGAAAGAATCACTCAGACTTCTGTTTGGAGAATAGAAAATAATGAACAGAAGCAGTGAGCTTCATTAGAGCATTACAATAATCCAAAAGGGAAGGAATGGTAGCCTGAACCAAAAGAGCAAAGATGGTGCTACTGACAGTAGTAATGATGAGCAGAATTTGCTGATGGACTGGATATCAAGGGAGAAAAGAGAAGAGTCAAGGAGAGCTTTTAAAAGATTTGGGAAGAGCAGAATTGCCTTAATTGAAACAACAGTCAAAGAAGCAATTTTATTTCCCCAGAACCCAGCACAATGCTTAGTATACACCATAAACTCAAATACTTGACAATTAAACTGAATAAACTCCCAAGATGAAGCAGGTAAATTTAAATGTCTTAGTTTCGATTTGCTCTAATAGTCCTTCAGTAGTGTTTGTTAATTACATTTAAAGAGACTTAACCACAATCACACGGTTAATTGCAAGTGCTAACACAGAAACCTTACACCGGGCCACAGCAACTAATCCTAACATCTCAAAAATCATTCTCAGTTTTAAATCTACAACTCTTCTGGATACAAAAGAAATCGACTATTAAAGCTTTGTGACAGCCTGAGGATTCTTACACCCAAAGTAATTAACCTGTTCGTTAATGATGTCATATTCCTAGAAGGTATAGTGGTGCAAAGAGAACTCCCTAGGCCAGAATTAATTGAAATCATAACACTTCATAATAAATTTTCAGAATGCGACAAGACTGAACAAGTCCCTTAATAAACTAAGCTATCAGCATTTTTTAAAATAACTCTTTGTAAATCCCAAACAGAAAGTCCCCTCGAAATAATCTCAATGAAGAACTAAAATCTGCTGGAGAATGTGAAATTTAGCACATCTTCCCCCAAACCCGCACTCTGCCTGCCAATTAGTGCAACTGAGCGTCACTAGGGGAATAATTGGGTGGCCTCACCTTTGGCACGTGTCTGAGTAGCATTACGGGATTTTCTAACCTAGCAGCTTCACTGTACCCACGAAGAACAAAGTTAGCAGAAACACATTGGAAGGAATTCTCCGAAAATAAAGTTACTATCCTTTCTCCCTTCCGGTTAACTTTTAAATTTTTAACTGAAGCTTTAAATAACACTTCTCTCCACAACAGTTTCCCTAGTGCCCCACCCTCACCTACTGTGATTTAAAACAAAAGTGTGCTTACAAACTTTCAGCGAAAACACTGCTTTAAAAACAGGTCATTCAGAGACTGGTCGTGCTGCATTAAGCAACAGGCAATACTTTCCTTGTTCCTATCAGTCAAAGGCCTTGAACCAACCCAAACAAATCTGCGAAATGCCAGCCAGATTCCCCGTATCTCCCCCGCTCCCTCCCCGCAAAGCAGGCCTGGAAATGCCACAGTCGCTGGCCGCCCAGCTGAACAGAAAAGAACCGGTGGTGAGCAAAACAATGATTTTTGGAGGCTTGACAGTTAGGAGCCTGATCTGCCACCACCACCTAGAAGAGAGGGAGAGCCGGGACGGCCGCGGTGACTCTCGGAGTAGGGCGCACACATCCTCGGCCCGCTCCCGAGCTCCGCGCGCACAGAGGCACCGCGGCTGGAGGGCCCCCCGGGGAGCAGCCGCGGGGAGCGCCCCGGGTTAAGGGGCGCCCAGGGGTGCCCGGGCAGCGCACGCAAACACGCCGGCGTGCCCAGCGTGAGAGCGGCGGCTCCGGGAGCGGCTAGCCACTCGGCCGGACCCCGAGACGCTGGAGGCAGGGAGGGACACCCAGCTAGGGTCTGCCCACCGTGGGGAAATGACTGGACAGGCCACAGGTGAAGGGCCCCCCGAGAAGGGGCCTAGGAAGCGACTGCTTCCCGGCCGGCGGGCGAGGACGCGGGGGCGGAGGCGCGGGCTGCTGTTGACTCCGACTAGGGAAGCCCTGGAGAGCAAAGGGGGAGCCAGAGGGGAGGGGAGGGGCGCCAGGGGACAGCGGTCCTCAGGGGCGCGACGCCAGCCGGGCCGGCGGGCGAGGAGCCGCAGCTCCCCGCCCCCACACTCACCATGTACAGGGTGAAGGGCAGGCCGAGCAGAAAGAGCCACAGGTAGAGGTGCAGCGCGTTCACGAAGGTGGCCTGGTGCGGGTCGTAGTACCAGCCCCCGCTGAGTGCGGCCCACACCCCCTGCCGGAGGATCTGCAGCGTCTGCGACCCCATCCCCACCCGGCGCCGCCGCCGCCGCCGCCGCCGCCGTCCCCGCCCCGGCCCCAGCTCGGCCTCGTCGCCGAAGCCTGCAGCTGCCCGGTCTATCCCCCTCCCGAGCTCCGGGAGAGCCGGCCGGCGCCGCGGCGGTCGCTAATGCTGCTGCAGGAGGAGGAGGCAGCGAACCGGGAGGAGGAGACCGAGAAGGAGGAGGCGGCGAGCGGCGGGGCGGAGGAGGGCAAGGAGGAGGAGGAGAAGACCGGCCTCCAGAGCGCCGCCGCCATCTTGTCTCCTAACACCCGGAGCCGGGGCCGGAGCCCGACCCGCGGCCCGCCAGCGCCCCCGCCGCCGCCGCCACGACCCCCGCCGGCCGCCAGCCCTGGCCCGGCAAAGGAGGCTACCCGGCGCCCAGCAGGGACGCGGAGGAAGCCGCGCCCCCTCGGGCTCCTCCTCTCCTTTCCCTCCGCCCCCAAAGCCGGCTCCCCGCGAGTGCGCGCAGCGCCTTGGCCGCGCGGGCGCCTCCTGCCGGCGCCCTGGAGAAGCGCGTGCGGACGCGGCCCCGAGACTGGGAGGGGCGCCCTGGAGAGGGATGGGGGATCCAGGTGACCCCATCCCACCCCCCCACCCCACCCCCCCCACCCCCCACCCCCACCCCCCCCGATAGATGACTGGCAAATCTATTTACCGATTCCTCAGAGGGGTCTTTTTGACTCGAAATCAATAGACCTTACCATCAGAAAAGCCTCCTGACTGATATTTGCAATATTTGTTAAAGACCTAGGTGCAATTGAAGCTAAGGTCTGAGAGAGACTCACTGAAGGCCTGGAAGAATTAATTCTTGAAAAATCACAAATGCTCCCAATTTGAGCAGGAAGTGTTTTGGCCCTTGGAGCTGTGCAACTTGGATGAGAAAAATACTCAAATCCCAGACTGGAAGGATTTAGTAATTCCAAGGATAAATAAATTAATAGAAGTTGCAAGTGATATAAAAGTATAGAGCAGGCAAGTTATCTTTTGTGCGCTGTGAGTTTATTTTTTAACGTGCTATAGCTAGTAGCCGTTTTTATCAATGGGCCAATCTAAATGGGGTTGAAAGATTTAACTGTGACTCCACCCCAAATTACAATAGGGTCTTGTACTTCTCTTTTTATAGCTGTAAAAACTGGGAATCATTCTTGGCTCTGTGTAGTGTTTATAGAGCATGTCTGATCTCACTGAATGAAATTTTTTTAAAAAAGAGTTTATTATAGCAATTAAAGTACTCCACATTCCCAGATTAAAGTTGCTATAATTAATGAGGGAAGCAAGAAAGCCAAAGGAACTGGTGACGTTTTAAGGAGAGTAGTGAAAAACCATCACAAAACCTCCAAGTGCCATGCCTCTTTACAGTTGTTTAAATATTTTCACACTCATTTCTTTTGATACAACACTATTGTGGGCAGCATAGAGGTATCCTTGTTTTATGAATGAGTGAACCTACACCTCAAAAAAATTTAAGTGATTGCCCAGGTCCTCGTAAGTAATAAGTGGTTGAGAAGACTTTAAAACCCCAATCATCCTCATTGTAAATTGAAATTTCAAAGTTTATTTTTCGGCATTCTTCACCTATCCATAGAGGTAAAAGTTTGAATTGATTAGCAGTTTCTGGTTACCTGTGCTTGTGGTCAGCATAAATGCTGTCCTCCTAGTGTAGTTGGAGGACATCATGTCAGGGCTTGTTCGACACAAATTTCCCAAGCACCACTTCAGAGAAACTGTGGGGTGGGGTCCAGCAAACTGTTTTTGATAAGCCCTCCATGTGAAGAAGACAAAAAATGAAATAAAATAATTCTTCCAGAGGATCCTAGTGGACATTCAAGGTTGGAACTACCACTGTAGAACACCCTCCACAGCCTTGATTTATTTTTTTATAGCAGCAAAGTTCTTGAGTTCCAGTAAGACACCTTTAAATGAAGAGATGTGAATGATCACTAGCCAAAATATATTTTTAAATGTGTCTAAAGGCAAAATTAAGATTAAATAATACAAGTTTACAATTAAAGTAGTGACTGTGGGGCTTGGTCACAGACACAAGGTATTGTCAGGTTTTCATTTGTTTCTCTTAAAGGAGACAGGAAAGCTCTCTGAGTTTTGGAAGTGATCCCAAGCTTTCCAACACAAAGAAAGATGTAAACAAGGATAAAACAATACCACATCAGTTTCCACAGCAGCAAACATCCACTGTGGTTTAATATGGAAGGATTAACTGTAATAAGGGTGAGGTAGACTGAGAGAAGTGGAGACTAGAACTAGATACATCCATGGAATGAAAAGCAGACCCAGCTGTCGTGATGAACATTCAGCCAGAAGACAGTATCTGGAGAGTATGGAACCGGCAGCAGGCCAGGAAGGCAGCCAGCAGCAGGCTGGTTCCACACAGAACGTAAGTATTATAAGCCACTGGACAGCTGGAACACAGCCTCAAGAAACCCAGGAGCAGGCAAAAATTAGGAACTCATAACAAGCATCAAGAAAATGTCTTGCTGATAGCACGGTCTCAGCCTCAGTTTTTCCAGGTGCAAATTCAGATCCTCAAGCTGATTACGGGACAAGTGTTGGGGACTCAGGAGAATAAGACAGACATCCAAAGGCTAGATATGGAAGACAGAGTGAGACAAAGCAGAATCTTACATAGGACATGGTCCATATTACACTGAGCATGATAGCCTTATACTGAGGTCCCTGAGTGTTAGTACAGAACTCTAATTCCCCTTCAATATGGCTGCACTTGAGCCAAGAGCATAGAGATGGGAGTCACAGGGCAACAGCCACTGGGTGAAAGAGGGAAAACAAGATGGATAGGCCTAGAAGGTGTCTGGTAGAAGCATCTTGGAAAAATGCTAATTAACTAACTTAGGGAGTTAGCAACTAAAATAACCCAATGAAAAGGCTGACCTTTCCAAGTGACTGACTCAGTCATCAGAGGTGGGGTTGGGGGGAATCTACAGTGCTTTTTATCTGTAGCTTTCAAAATGTGTAGGACTCCTACCACAACAAGCTTCCTATTATAAACAGAGCACTAAGGCACAGAGAGGTTAAATGGTTTGCCCCAGGTAACACTCTCTAAGAGTAAGAGCAGGACAAAAATTAAGAGATCTAATTTGCTAAGTGTTCGGCCTCTGAGCCAAGCATAAAAGCCTTTCATAGTGTTACACTTAGCATGTCAAAGTTAGCAGCCATGACATACTACCAAACCACCACCTGACATTTGCTCATCTTTCAGCTAATCCTATTAAAATTATGTTTCCTGACTAGCTCATAGGCCCCTTGAGGACTGGGAATGCTCAACAGCAGATGCTCTCTCCTGCCTGAAAGGGACAAAGCTGCATAGGCAAAACCTTTTAATAACCCCACCCAAACCCACCCGGGAGCAGAGGCATCCACACTGCAGTTCTGTCAGTTATATATAGTGGCAGTTATCTACTTCAGGGCCTGTGTGTCCTGCTAATAGGCCCACTGCAGAAAACATCCATGTTTTCTCCAGGCCAGCCTCTCTTCTTTGTCTTAGTGAAACCAACATTTTCCAACCTGCTCAGGATTGGACCTTCACATACTGATCCCCCACCCTCTACCCCCCACCCCCGCTGCCGTGGTCTAGACTTCTATCATTTTTCCTCTGCCCGACCCTTCCTTAATGTTGCCAAATCAGCCATCCTGGTGGATGCCTTCATTCACTCATGCCCAGTAGCTCCTATTGCCATCTCTCCTCTTCAAAACCATTGGACCTTCCACCAGCAAATGGATCTCCCTAATACACTTTTCTTAAAGGCTTTTAATTTCCTACAGTTGCCTACAGGACTAAAGGCATGCTCCTTAACTGCCTCCACTCCCCAGCATGAACCCTTTCAATTGGTAAATATCAGCATACTTATTTTTACCTGCCCACCCATTTATTAATTCTGCCTCTTCTCTTACAGATACCAAATGCCTCACCAGGAAAACCTTATCCCTCTACCTGCCTACTAAAATCCACAATGACTACTCCAAACTCATTCATCTATTTTGTGAACAGCCTAGAGCTCTCACATGTTCCACCCATTTAGCACTTAATTGTGTGCCACACTGAACTGTATCTCTCACACTGAACAGTATATTCCTTGAGGGCAAGGATTTCCCAGCATGCCCCAGGTTCCTAGCAGACAGCTGTTAAGATCAGAAGCACAGAAACCAATGACTTTCCAATTAGAGATTTTAATCTATTTTAGCATTCATTTGGTAGCTCTTCAACGTTTAAAAGTGTTTCACCAGTTTAGATCAGTTCAAGAAAGGGGAAAAAAATGAAATAAAGATGATGAGAACTTGGAAGAGAAGTGCCCTAAAACTATTTCCTGATTCTCTTTTTTGACATTTGCTATATTCTACTTCATATCACATCAGGAAAAATAAATGACAAAAGAGGGATGGAAAGGAGAGTTCCAAATCTTACATAACATAAAATACCAATATCTGGATATGGAGCTAAATAAGTAAAAGTAGAAGGTTTTCTTTACTATATAGGAGATTATCCTTGGAAATCTCAGTTCCATTTTTTTTTGAGGTGTGGATTCTATATGATGAATACTTTGAAACATGTTTTAATTGACACTAACTAGTTCAAAAATATTTGTTATAGTTTTGTGTCATTCAGAGAGTGTCTTCTGTTATATCTCAAGAAAAAAATTCACTTTTCTTAAATTTATCATAACACTTTCAGGGTAAGACAATGAAAGGAAAGGAGAAGTATATAGGATATTGCAATACTCCCCAAATATTGGGAAACCCTAAATTAATAACAGTATATTCACACACTGTTTTTCATCTTTCAACAGTAAAAGATTGCTCTATGTCCATCTTGTGTCTAATGTATTAAATACATCATTTTAAAGGGTGGTTACCTTTCTGCTTCAGCCAGGTAGTGTAATTCCAGCAGGATTTACTGGCCAACTGAGGTGGCTGAGTAATACTCTCACGAACGTACTCCCTCTGTTAGTCTCTACAGTTTCAGCTGGATC